TGAAAAAAAAGAAATGTTGTCGCAACTAACAATTAGTTACTCCAACTAATTTTTTTAGTAGCTATAGCCTCAACAAAATTATTTGCTGTAGGAAATCAACATAACATAACTTGTTGGAAGTAAATTTGTTCCAGTAGCTAAAACAATTACTTGTGACAAATTATACAAGTTAGTTAAGAAAGCATACCATTTTTGTTTGAGGAACTAAATAAGCTTGCAAAAAATTTGTCCCTGTAACAAGTAATGCTTAGTCGCAGCAGCAGAGCGGTATTGTTATATAAACTAACGAGTATTTGCTGGACCTCCTAATTTGTCCTTTTTTATCTTTGTTGTAGTAGCATACCATTTATGCTGGAAACTCATAAATTGTCTCAAATGATTAGTTGGATTAACTATGAATCCTGGTTGGAACAATAAATTTTCCGCTCTGTCTGCATCGTCCACGCGTTTTGGTGATGTCAATTAAAACAAATCACTTTTTTTTAAAATACACATTTATTAAATCACTTACTGTTTACCTAACTACAAAAGAAAAACTTTTTTATCATTAACATCTCCAAAGACAAAATATAAAACACTTAAATTAAAACCGAGATTAAAACTTACCTACACTACATGTAAACAGCTTTTACAAATTTACATATACAGCGTGTTTCGAAATTCGCGCACACGGACTATGGGATGGTGTTATACAAAGAAAACCGAATAAAAAGTTCCTCGACCAGTTTCTGATCAGACCGGCACTTTTCGAGTTGTCGTTGTTCGAAAAATCTAAAAATGAAAATGCCGGAAAACAAAAGATAGTTCAAAACAATTTATGGATTAAAGTTACACTTACCTTCAAACACCAAAAGTAGTTCCGGGAATCCCCATTGTTCCAATATATCACCTACACTTTGTTCAGCCATTGAAAAAACATTAAAATACTAAAAGTTCGTAATGTAAATAACCGAAATTCAGTAGGTACAAGATTGACGACTTACCGTGAAAAAATGAGCTAGTAATTATGACACTGGACAGGGTCACAGGGTACTTTGTAATGATGTCCTCTCACATCTGGCTGGCACTCTGGGACATGCAAGGCAAGGTGAGATAAGCACATCCTGTCAACTACTTGGGAATTGCATGATTGCAGTATTATAAATAAAATTTTATATTATTTTCGTCCTTCAAGTTAAGGAATTTAGTATGTTGTCACAAATACAGTGGTATTAGGTTTATCAGCAAACTGCTTTTTGTTATGAAGGCATACTTTTATGTTCATGGAATCAATGCAAAATGCTCGTTGGCTCTCTTAACAAAAAATGTTTGCTATCCTCCAACAAAGTTTCATTATTAACCCCAGGAAATCGCAACTACTTGGGAAAACTAAAGCAGTAAATTATTTAGTTCTAAAAACCATTTCTTTTTGCTGCTGCAACAATATGCATGTAGCAATTCTAAATTTGTTACCACAAGGAAGTCATTTTTTTCAGTCATTTTTTTCAGTGTACTGGTGACGGTAATTACCACATTCTTTGGTCACTGTTGGATCATGCCCCAAACCGATAAGACCTAGATGCCTCGTAAAGAAGTTGGATTTGTTCCAGAATTCGTCGTAAAAGTTAATTCATCGTTGCTGAATCTTATATATTAAAGTGGTTATAGTCATCTTACAACATGAAAATTTTTGTCATTTATACCAAATCGTCCTATCAATCGTCAATCTCCTTTGGATCCACTGCCTATCGTGTCAAATTTTCCAAATCGAAAAATATTTCGTTCGATCAAATGTTAAGGGTTAAATTGCCGTTATAACGCCGCCGTAAGGTAGTGGTCGGAAAAGAGTTTTTCTCATTTCATCAAACGTTGCTTCTGTAGCGTTCAATTCTATTAGCATTTTATCAAACGTAATGAAGGGCCTCACTAATGGCGTGTATACGGTTGTAGCTTACAACTTTTAGTGCATCGTCCTCTGAAAGTAACGCTCGCATATATACCTACGAAATTTCCATATGCTATAACTTTCTCGGTTGAACTGCTTTGTGTTTAGCTTTATGCCTATTTTACCCAGAGGTAATTAATTTACCGGCATAGTGTACTTTTCTTCGTGGATGGATCGCTCATTTTCACCGCAAACCATCATAATAATGTGTTTTATATAACTTATTTACTTACTGGCCCTGCTCATACTCAGATTGTATTGAACAGAATATTCAGACTATCACGTCTATTTTGAAGACCTGAAATATTTTTTGTGTAGTCCATCTCCACTTAGTGTCGTTGCACGGAATCTGCGTGGATATCGACTCGTAAAACGTGGCACAAAACCACAAATTAAGACAAAACAAGTCTGATATAAACTTTCGATGCTATCGGAAAACTTCGTTATAACCCCAAATTAAAATTTCCGTCTCTCACAATGCCAAACAAGTTATAAATCAGCATATAGTATATACACGATGAAAGCGCATTTTTGGTAATACAGATCAGTATTTTATTAGTAGGTAAAGTTTATAATTATAAAAGTAATCTAACTCAAAATAGACTAGAGCCTGCACATATATAAACTATAGCAGAAACCTTTTAGTGAAAATGTGAAATCTCTACCTATTGTAATTGCCGAAGTCTCAGCCGGACAGCCAGTCATAACGAATATAATGCCGTATTTTTGTTCAAAAATGCGCAAAATTCAATAGAATACAAGTGCACCGCAAAAGGTGCAAAATTGAGCATAATTGAACATAAAACAAGCATTTTTTGGTTCACAGGTTTAGGGGAACAATTTATGGCAATCTCTACGATAAAATATATTTCAATTGCAATATCTCCCCAGACAGTGTGACAGTAGAATGAACCATATTTTTGAAATAGATTTCGAAATCGGAGGCGGACAACTGCCTCTTGACTGTAGGATCTTTTTGTTTAAAGCTAACCGATACAATTACAACATTTTGAACGCACCATCAAATTTGTTTCACATAGCGCTTCTTCCAGTTGAAGAAAGTATTGCTACCCCATAACACAAACGTACCTCTCGTGCCAGGACCGTAATAGTGAGGGTTACGAGCTGAGTGGT